CAGAGAGTTCGTAGACGGCCTCCTTGGCCGGAACAGAACAGGCAGAGAGTTCGTAGACGGCCTCCTTGGCCGGAGCAAGACAGACAGAGAGTTCATAGACGGCCTCCTTGGCCGGAACAGGACAGGCAAAAGGTGCGTTGCTGGACGCCTCCACCACGCAAGGAACTGAGGCAAGTGTCGCCATCTCGGGAGGTTCTGCAGCCTGTGCCGCCACCTCTGAAGAGACTACAGTGGACACCATGGCCTCTGGGAGCACAGCAGTGAACATCGCTACCTCGTGAGGTTCTGCAGCGTAAGCCTCCACCTCTGGAGATGTCATAGCCGATGCCGCTGCTTCTAGCAAATCAGCGGTGGAGTACGCGGCCCAGATACACCATAAAGCAACCCCCCCATATGGGAAGTGCTGCAGACAGGGGAATGAGTTCATGAATAGATGAGTAAGAGTGAGTGATTTTGGGGATACCAGCGGTGCGTGCAGACACCAGCGGGGTATCCCTCACACTGGCTACCAGACTGGGATACCGAAGGGCTGACCTTGAGAATCTGGGTGTGACAGACAGGACGTGACATGACTCTGGATGATCAGCTGTGATGCAACGAGATTCTGGATGAATAACTGAGGCGTGACGTGACTCTGAACGAACAGTTGAGACGTGACGAGGCTCTGGATGAACAGCTGAGACATGATGAGGCTCTGGCAGATCAGCTGAGACTTGACTGGACTGAGGAAGATCAACTGTGACCTGACTTGCCTCATGACAATCAGTTGTGACTCGACCGAACTCAGGATGAACAACTGTGACTAGACTAGACTCATGATCATGAACTGTGACTTGAATAGACTCGTGATGATCAACTGTGATTAGACTCGACTCAAGAAGATCAGCTGTGACTAGACTTGACTCATGATAATGAATTGTAACCTGACCGGACTCATGACAATCGACTGTGATTTGACTAGACCCATGAATATCAGTTGTGACTTGACTAGACTCATGAATATCAGTTGTGACTTGACTAGACTCAGGAAGAACAACTGTGACTTGACTAGACTCATGAATATCAGTTGTGACTTGACTAGACTCAGTTATGAGTCTAGTCAAGTCACAGTTGTTCTTCCTATCAACTGTGGCTTGACTAGACTCATGCAAAGGAACTGTGACCAGAACTTTAAGGCTTAATATAATTTAAACAGATGAGTTATAAAAAATTCACCCCCCTCACAGTTGTCATCAAGGGCAAAATTAGCTGTATAGACCAAACTAATTTTTTGAACCAGGCTGTAAACATGTTTTTTTCTGCTGTAAAGTTTGGCATTTTAACATGGGGAGTCTATGGGACTGACTCTCTTTTGCAGCCAGCCTCTAGCGGCCAGTCGATGAATTACAGTTTAAGTCACTTCCGTGTTGGCTTCACGAGAGAGAGCGGGAGGTTGCCGCTTGCATAAAACATTAAAGTTAAAGGAACAATATCTATCCACAGGTGGCCGTTACACACTCAATTGACCATTCGCAAAGACCCGCCCTCCTTAGTTACTGTTGCCATGTTTTGTTGTATTTATTTAGAAATACTTTTGATAATAGTTGGGTAAATGTTTACTGGGATTGAAGTGATGAGGCTTGGTAAACCTTGTAATGCCAGAATAAAGGCTACTAATGGCTGAATAAAAACAAAATAATAATGATAAAGAATAATGAGGATTATGTGTCATACCTGGCGGAGGGAGGTGTGAAAGGCTCATTGAGTGAGAACAATAGAATCATGAATGGGGCAGTTCGCCACGCCAGACATGAGGTAACAGCATGCAGGAGAGCTTACAGGGGGCCATAAATCAATGGCTATGTTTACATGCAACCAAATAATCCATTTGTAATGGGATTGACGGCTCAATCTGACTGAAAAGCCTTCATGTAAGCACCTTAATCGATCCGACTGAACTCAATGGGAATTACATTTCGATCGGATTGAAGGGGGTGGTTTATTCCTTTTCTAATATGATTGAGAGCGCATGTAAACACTCGATCGGATTGAACCCCGAAACTGAAAGGACTGCGCATGTGCAATGATGGAGAAATAAGCGTAATGACGTAAGACGCGCGGAACGAGCGTTGTATAAATGCGTGTCCTGTCAGTATAAAACTCTCCTTTCACTCGGCAACTGTGAAGTGGAGCAGGACAACCTCCCACCAGTCCTTGTTTTGGATTCTCATCCACAGGCAACCCGTTTTGGGATAAATATAAGCAGCACGGCACAGCGGTTTCTATGTATATTTATCCATAAATGGATAAATATGAATTCTGCTGTTAAAAACAAATAAAGAAACCATGTAGGAGAGTGGTTATTATGTGCAAACAGTGAGAAATTCTATATTTGTGCAGTGTGCGAATGTCAAAAAAAAAATCAATTCCGATTTGAAGCTTGTGATATATGAACGCCCACATCAACCCGATCACTTTATTTAGCGTTCATGTAAACACTACATTCAGATTCATCAATCAGAATTAATTCAGTCCGATTGAACCAAAAATTGTGCATGTAAACATAGCCAATTTTATTAGCCTTTTATTAGCCTTCTCTAAAAACAGACATGACATGGTTTTAGAAAATGTTTCATAAAATTAAGTTTTAAAGATAATGTCCTGAAATTTGAAATGAAGCATTGGTAGACTTGTGGCTTTAGCTTCATTGTGTTTCCAAAAGCATTTACCATAGCAACATAGTTTTTTTATACTTTTTGTTTTTATGTTTGAGCTTACATCTTGATATTCATAACAGTCTGAGCAATTCTGATTCTTGAACATTAAACTTTAAAGTGGGTCTGTGTATCTTTTGGTCATTTCATTTTCCTTTTAGAATCGGGTATTAAAAAACAAAAAAAAGAGTGGCGATTATTTTTCATTTTAAAATAACAAATATTGAAATTGAAATACTGTCACAAGTTGTGTTGAGAAGCAAGGCAAAGGAAATATCAGGTAAAGTCCAAAACTCTTAGTTTAATAAACAACTCAAACAATGGGCATAATGGCAAGGGAAAACACAAATAGTATAACGGTGACCGGACCAAGAGCGATTGTGAAGGAGCAACTTAAATACATAGACAAACGAGGATAATTAACTAGACACAGGTGAGGGAGGTAAACTAAATAGGCTAAAT